CACACACACACACACACATCTGCAGTAGCTCTAACATCTGTGTAATTGCGATGTGTGTTTTCACAGGGGACAGAGACTGGAGGAGTCGCTGGAGTACCAGCAGTTTGTGGCGAATGTGGAAGAGGAAGAAGCTTGGATCAATGAGAAGTTGAATCTGGTCGGGAGCGAGGATTACGGAGACACACTGGCCGCTGTGCAGGTGAGAACGCTCTCAGTTCCCTAACATGAAATCAGTGTGTTTTAAAACCGAATGAGCTTCGCTGAATGTCGAGGACACGTCTGTGTTGGACAGGGTCTGCTGAAGAAGCACGAAGCGTTTGAGACAGACTTCACCGTGCACAGGGACAGAGTCAACGACGTGTGTTCGAACGGAGAGGAGCTGATCAAGAAGGTACCGAAATAATCCACATCGTGATTTGTGCAGTGTGACGACAAAAGCAGCAGCAGTGTATTCACGTGTTTGTTTGTTTGGACAGAACAACCATCACGTGGACAACATCAGTGCCAAGATGTCGGCTCTGCGAGGAAAAGTGTCGGAGCTGGAGAGAGCAGCAGCACAGAGGAAGTCTAAGCTGGATGAAAACTCTGCCTTCCTGCAGTTCAACTGGAAGGCCGACGTGGTCGAGTCCTGGATCGGTACGAATAATTACTAATGAGCTTATTTCAGACATAACTCCAGAGAATGTGATAGCTGGTACTGCAGCCGGCCACCAGGGGGAGACACCATGGCCTCACTTCTGGGAGCCAATGTGTCGTCCGTCTTTATTCCCAGTCTGTGGTTCTGCCATGAATTCAGACGCAGGTGTGACTCTGCTCAGACGAGGCAGAACTCTGTGTTTTTATCTGAAGCTGTTGATGTTTCAGGTGAGAAAGAAAACAGCTTGAAGACAGACGACTACGGCAGAGACCTGTCTTCTGTGCAGACTCTGCTCACCAAGCAGGTTCGTCCCTCCTCTCAAACCGAATTTCATCCTTTGTACCGCGTCACTCTCTGCGAACAAGTTTGTTTTTCTGCGTCTGTCTGCAGGAGACATTCGACGCCGGCCTCCAGGCCTTCCAGCAGGAGGGCATCACTAACATCACAGCTCTGAAGGACCAGCTGCTGGCCGCCGAGCACGTCCAATCAAAAGCCATCGAAGCTCGTCATGCCGCCTTGATGAAGCGCTGGAACCAGCTGCTGTCCAACTCAGCCGCTCGCAAGAAGAAGCTTCTCGAGGCTCAGGAACATTTCAGAAAGGTACCGAGGACACACCTGAAGATAAATCGCAGCTGAAGTTCCAAAAAAACTTTCGTTAACATTAGACCTGTTTTTTTTTTTT